TCCCCTCCCCCGCCGAGTACACAAATTTTTGTGCACTGGGCCTCTAGTATATATATAAAAGCCCAGCGACCAGAACGGCGAAACAACCGGAATGACCAGTGGCTATGATGTGCACTCTGGCAGCCAACCAGCCTGATCTGGGCCCTGATCGTACCCTGTCCTCAGCCAGCCTGGGCCCCAACCGACCCCCAACACCCTGATTGGGGAACAAGCCAGCTGGCCAAATGCCTGCTGCCCCTCCCCCTCCCACTGGCCCAGCCCGATGGGCCCCCATCAGGGCTGGGTGGCCAGACCCCACCTGTGCACAATTTCATGCACTGGTCCTCTAATCTCTCTATATAAAACTCTAATATGAAAATAGACCAAATGGTGGAACAACTGAACAACCGAAAAACCGGTTGCTATTATGTGCACTGACCACCAGGGGGCATGCATGGAACATGGAGGGAGTTGGCTGTGGTAGGATGGTGGAGCAGGGGCACCAGTTGCTGTCACAAGGGCAAGTCTCTGGTTATTACTGAAAATTCTTTGCTCCTGCTCACTGTAGCCCGCCGGGCGCTCGTACCTGCGGCTAGCGCTGGAGTCACTGCTTGCACCCACTGCCTGTGCCCAGCACTGGCCTGGTCACTTGGTGCTGTCAGCAGGTGTGAGCAGCGGCTTCTGGCTCCGATAGTCCTTCAGGGCTTCTCCACTTACCCCTGCTCCTGAGGGTGATCAGGGCAGCAGCCGCCGCTCGCACCTGCTGCTGGTACCTGCCCCAATCACTCTGTGCCATCAGCAGGTGCGAGCGGGGCTGCCAGCAGAGAGGGAACCGGGGACTGTGGTGGAAGGGGCTGGGCGGGGGCCCGGAGGATGGGCTAAGACCCATCCCTGTGCCCACTACAGCCTTGCAGCCCACAGTTCCTTTCAAGATGCACAAATTCATGCACTGGGCCCCTACTGATGATATAAATAGAGAAAATGTCAAATTTATATAATCTTTGAGTTTCTGAAGCCCTTGACCCATTTTTTTAACTACACATCTTGAATTCATGTTTGTTAGAGAGAAGAGAGATGTAATGAAGTTGAACATTGGCCAAAGTATTTAACCCAAATCTTATATTTGGATTCATTTTCAGTCTTGGTCTTTGGAAAACTGAAGAGCCAAATGGATGTACATTTCTGAACAGTGATCTTATGATCATGCTGATGTTCACCATATTTTATCAGTATAAAATATCTATAACATAAACAGTATATAATTTATTTTAGATTTTTTGTTAATGTATAATAATTCCCTTTTAAATGTAGATAAGAATTCTACATATAACTTATAGTACATTTCTATGTGCTAAACATGTTAACATTCTGAAGTATAAGTACATCTTTATGATTGCAAAATTAAGGGAGGTGGGTGGGAGGAAAGAGATTAACCAAAAACTTATATGCATATATTCATAACCCAAGGGCACAGACAATAGTGGGAGTGGGTTGAGGATGGGATGGAAGGGGTCAATGAGGGAGAAAAAGGGACATCTTTAATACTTCCAACAATAAAGATAAATTTTAAAAATGTAAGTACTAGTGAGAATTGTTATTTCTGTTAATTTTATGTGCAAAACAATGATTAAGTACTTTAAAGTGGTCAATAAAAGAAATAGACTGAATTTAATGTGAACATTAAGAGGGTATCATAGCTATATATCTTTAGGGATATAAGATAATTTTGAGTCGACAGATGTTTATAAAAGATTAAATCAGAGAACACTTCTATTCTTTGTAAAATTATTTAGTAAACTATAGTTTATAACATTTTCCAAAACAACCTTTTAGAACTGTATTTAATTCCTTTCACAGGACACAAGGGTTTCCAGAAAATGTCAACTTGTAAACATTTCATATTTTGTGAAAATAAGCTAAAAGCAAAATGTCAACTTTACCACTTAGGAATTCTGTAAGAAGGAAAACCTAAGAGATCATGTATAAAGCTACCTCAGGTAATTCATATTCATTTCAAAATTAAGGAATATAAAGACGATGGATAAAAGAAAAAAATATGGAAAAAGAGATACCCAAACCCATTTTCTTCCTACTAATAATACAAAAAAAATTACAAAAATGCCTTCTAAAAGTCTGTTCTTTATAGGTGCATGTTAGTCCATTTCTAGAAAGGGAGTACATCTTAAGCATCACCACAGCTGCTACTCCATATGGAAGAGATGGCCAAAGTATCTGGCTCCTCTACTGACCTCAGTTGAAATTGAACGTCCACTTAGCATAAAAAATGTTCAGTATCAGGGCTGAGAAATTTTTATTTCTTCATTATAATTCAGCTCATTAAAAAATTGACTATTAAATGTTTCAAAAATCAAGCTGGAAAATAATTACATTTTAAGAATGAAATTTCAGGTTTATTTTTTATCCTAGAGGTTCATTTTATAATGATGATTTTCAATGCCTGCCAAATGTTGATTTTTAACTCTGGCCACTGGCCTTTGAACAAAAGGGTAGTGCACTTGATATACATCTAGGAAGAGAGCAAGTCCTCTCTCTCTAATGGGGTAGATCTCTGAGCGCAAGCTCTGCTCCAGGCCAAGCTCCATCCATCACCTCTGCCGTTGCTGTAAGAATGCCCTTGTTGCACATTTTCCATTTTTTTTATAACATTTCTGCCATTTTCTGGAGAAATAAAATGTACATGCTTTAGAATACACCTGAGCACTATTAAATCAAGTGTCTTTGATCTCTAAACAAAAAAATCTGATTGGGAAGCCTTACAATGGAAATAAAGAAACTCAATGGCATGCTTTTTGCTTGTTTTTTGTTAAACACTTTTATTGTGGCTAAAATTACCATATTGGCCATGAGGAAGAGGGGAATATGGAATCACTTCACTATAGATATACCTTTTGTGGTATTACAATATAATCTAAAGATAGTTATTTTGGAGGATGAGACACTGTATAAAACTCCCTAATATGTAAATCCCCTCACAGGTCTGACGTTAAGAAAACGTCTAAGTCCGTCTGGGTAGCTCCCTTGGTTAGAGCCTTGTCCCAATACCCCAGGTTTTGGGTTCCATCCCTGATCAGGACACACAAGAATCAACCAATGAATGCATGAATGTCTGTTTTTCTCTCTCACCATTCCTCTCTCCCTCTTTTCCTTTCTCTCTCTCTAAAAAAATAAAAATAAATAAAAATAGATGTTTCTCTCTCCTTTCCTTTCTCTGTCTTCCTTCTCCACTCATTTTCTTTTAGGCATCATGCCCCCCCAGCTGCCTGATGGCCCCAAACATCCTGGCCACCAAGCCAGACTTTTCGTTTCTCATACTGCATCGGAGTAGATCATGCCCATCAGGGCCTGCCGTGCCTTCTTCATCCACCTTCCACCATCACTCTCTCAGCTGCATTCCTGAGAGATACCAGAATAGACTCTTTCCTTCCCCTAATCCCTCTTCACTGCTATAATAATGCTTACTAAAACCCTTAAAACACTTCTAAGCAAATATTATATGATTCTAAGAAATCTTTTTTTTTTTTTTTAATATATTTTATTGATTTTTTACAGAGAGGAAGGGAGAGAGATAGAGAGTTAGAAAATCGATGAGAGAGAAACATCGACCAGCTGCCTCCTGCACACCTCCCACGGGGGATGTGCCTGCAACCCAGGTACATGCCCTTAACCGGAATCGAACCTGGGACCTTTCAGTCCACAGACCGACGCTCTATCCACTGAGCCAAACCGGTTTCGGCTGATTCTAAGAAATCTTAATTTGAGGGATTTTATAATGACATTGTAGCTTTAAAATAAATTGTATATATATCCTATCTAATAATAGACAAACATGGTAATTGGCCATACCTTTGCTACTCCTCCCATTGACTAATCAGTGAGATATGCAAATTAACCCAACCAAGATAGTGGCCGGCAGCCACGCAGCTGAAACGAGCAGGAGAATTGCTTGCTCCAGTGATGGAGGAAGCCATAGTTCCCTGCCTGCCACGGCCCGGCTCTGAGCTCCGAAAGCAACAAAGTTTCAATTATAGAAGCTAAACAAACCCCAGATACCTGCTTTCAGTAGGTCGTGGCCTCAGAGCTGGAGCGAGCAGGAGCTCGGCTCTCAGCCCAGTGACAGCAACAAAGTTTCAATTGTAGAAAGTAAACAAATCCCAGAATAAAAAAAAAATAAAAAAAGGAGAGGCTGGGAGCTTCAGTCACTGGCCAGTCTGAAAACGGCCCTCAGTCTCTCACCCAGACTGGCCAGGAACCCCAGTGGGGACCCCCACCATAAAAGGGGTGTGGCCAGCCTGAAAACAGCCATCAGCCCCTCACCCAGGCTGGCCAGGCACCCCAGTGGGGACTCCCATGCTGAAAGGGTGTGACCAGCTGCAAACAGCCATCAGCCCCTCACCCAGTCTGGCCAGGCACTCCAGCAGGACCTCCACCCTGATCCGGAACACCTTTAAGGGCAAACCAGCCGGCCCCCACCCATGCACCAGGCCTCTATCCTATATAGTAAAAGGGTAATATGCAAACTGACCCTAACAGCAGAAAGACTGGGAATGACTGGTCACTATGACACACACTGACCACCAGGGGGCAGACGCTCAATGCGGAGCCGCCCCCTGGTGGTCAGTGAGCTCTCACAGTGGGGAGCTCTGCTCAGCCACAGTCAGGCTGATGGCTGTCAGTACAGCGGTGGTGGTGGGAGCCTCTCCTGCCTCCTCAGCAGTGCTAAGGATGTCTGACTGCAGCTTAGGTCTGCTCCCTGCTGGCAAGTGGACATCCCCTGAGGGCTGCAGGGCTGCCAGAGGGATGTCTGATTGCCAGCTTAGGCCCAATCCCCTGGGGAGCAGGCCTAAGTCAGCAGGTGGTCATCCCCTGAGGGGTCCCAGACTGCTAGAGGGCACAGGCCAGGCTGAGGGATCCCCCCTCCCCTGAGTGCACAAATTTTTGTGCACCGGGCCTGTGTGTATGTGCACACACACACACACACACACACACACATATATCCTCACTCGAGGATATGTTTTTATTGATTTTCGAGAGAGGAAGGGAGAAAAATATCAATGTGAGAGAGAAACATTGGTTTGTTGCTTCCCATATGTGCCCTGACCAGGGATTGAATCCACGACAATTTTCTATACAGATTAAGCTCCAACCAACTGAACCACCTGGCCAGGGTAATTGCCCATATTTTTTGAGATGCACATTTAGTTTGTAGAGGTAAAATGACATAAAGTCTGGATTCCCTTCCAAATACTTTACAACAAAATAAGACACAAAAAGAGAGAAGAGAAAGAAAAAGAAAGAAAGAAGGGAGAGAGGGAGGGGAAGAGGAGGGAAGGAAGAAGGAAGGAAGGAGAAAAAAATGAAGAAGTTTGGTAAAATCTTGATAATTATTGACTGGGAGATGGACATATGGATATTATTTACAGTACTGTACTTTTGAGTTCATCTGAACATTTTTATAATAAAAACAACAAAAACGAAAGCTTCTCTAGCTTATTACAATTTTTACAATAGAATTTTAATAATTTAAAGAACAGACTAGAATTTAATGTCTGTTAACTGGGTACTATGAAGCAGTAAATGTGCCACAGAAAGGAATGAAGAGAAGTGTGTGTGTGTGTGTGTGTGTGTGTGTGTGTGTGTGTGTACATCAATCTCAGTGTTCTATGCATTTGATTCAGAGAAGGGGGTTTCACTGTCCCTTTACAGGATCTCCCTACTGTAAAGTCATTAAACATGTCTCTCAGTTATGCTTTACATGAGTAGGTAAAAATTGAGAGAGAGAGAGAGAGAGAGAGATGCCCTCATTGTATACTTTCTTCTGGTTTGGTAGAGAAGTTCTAGGAGTTTAAGGTTTCACCTTAAAATTAAACATTTCAGAGATAATCTATAATAATAAAAGTGTAATATGCTAATTAGACTGGATATCCTTCCAGACTAAGCCGGGACTGCAGCCACCATGGCTGCGAGGGAGGGATCCAGGCAGCCGCCCAAAGGCCCACTCTTGCATGAATTTCCTGCATTGGGCCTCTAGTGGAGTGTATTTATACCATTTTACTTTGAGAATCCCCAAGCCATTCAGGCCCAGTGCACCAGCCCTCATCGGTCCTCATGTGTTTAAACTTGTGTTTAAGCTTGGCATTAGACTGAACGGTGAATGAAGAATAGAGGGATAAGAAAGGTAGCTGAGGGAATTTTAGTCATCCATTCATCTGGATGTACGATTTTCAGCTATCTCTGTGAATTCAGCATTCTACCAGGTTTTCTGCCCACAGGTAGTCAACAAATAATTTTTTTTCTCTCTCCATTGATTATTGGACCCGAATGATATGCCTCTTTATGAAAATGCAGTATTCATTGGACTGATAACCTCTTGAGTTTTAAATTCAATGATCATAATGTCTCCTTTTACTTTTCATTGATGGTGAGGTAATCCCCTTTATACTTAGAGCATAAAACACAATAATGTTGACATTGTTACTGACACCTGAAAATTAAAGCTTTTATCAGCCCAATATAACTAACAAAATCAGCTTGTTATTAATATAGTCAACTCTGCTGTTTAAGTAGAGAACTGCAATATTTAGAAAGATATTTTTATGATTTAGGAAGTGATAATTTCATTCTTTTTTAAAAATAAACTTTGTGTATTTAACTTTCATAATAGGATAAGTCTCAAACAGGAAGTGATCTAAGTGGACATTATCAAAGAATCCCAGTGAGATTGCAGGGTTCTGTATTCAGTCCAAAATAACATGAGTTTATAAATAGTAAACTAGCACAGAACTTCATATCATCAGGTACAAGGTCTTAAATTATTTTCCTGTGATTAAATTACAAAGGTGCTACTAATTTTATTTGTTAAAGTTAGAATATATTTCACTCTAAGTATCTATCTTACCTTTGGGAGATGTTCCAACTGTTGATTGTGTAACAAGATTTAGTGATGTTGTTGTGACTGGTGTTGGTACAGATGTTTTTGCTGCAGAAATTGTTGATGATTTTAATTGAGGAGTGGTTACATCTGAAAAAAAAGTAAATTGTGTCAAAGTGGTTGCATTAAAATTTACATTTATTTTGCCAATCAACAGACTATTATATTTAAATAAAATGAACTCTATGTATGTGTTGTTAACACAGCCAGTAGGGTATGAATTTGAAATTAAGTTTCTAATTGTTATAAAGTCAGCCCTGAGCAGTATTCATTCACAATCCCATCTGCTTCTCACCAATGGTGTGAATTTTCAAGATGGCTGGCATGAGCAGTTTGTGTGTCTGAAACAAAACAGTATCTGACAAAACTAGTGAGGAATATATGTGTACATTTAAAATTTAACAGTATTTCAAATCAATTAAACTAATGTCAGATGAAATAATTAGACACTCTCTGGGCAGTGGATATTTTACTAATATTTTCAATTTTGCAACATGCCTACATTTTTGGCCATTGAGTTACTATAAATCTGCATTTTCAAATGTTTTACTTCTCTAAATTATAACAACCAAGGGCAAAGATATGAAGGCAATTGTGATCTATATTACATATTTACTGTTAGTAATTCATTCTTTGGCAATAAAAACTCAATATTTTAATAATAATTCTTAGAAATCTCATTAAAATATTAATAATTTTTCAAATTTATGTAGGAGTTAATTCTGAATGATTTATAAAATATTTGTTTCACATAATATTATTAGAATTTATTAGCATTTATATAAGCTTTTTGATCCTCTATATTGCTATTCTTGCCTCTGTACACTCACTGTTGGGTTGAAGATCAAAAAGCAACAAATGTCTACATACTTGGAAAAAGTATTCATGTACACAGAAGGCATTATTTTTATGGTGTATGTATAGTCAGTGGAGTATATAGTATAGCATTTAGTTAAGAAGATGGATTTTGAATAACAAAGACATATTCAAATCCCACTGCTATGTCATTTCAGTCAATGTATGTCACTAGTATAAGTTGTCAAATTTAAATTTCATCCCAAATTTTCCTTTTTTAAATATTGAATGGCAACCATAATTTTAAAAGGTTTTTAATTAAAAAATAAGATATGTAGCTTATGTATTATAATTATGCCTTTTACATTTCAAAAACAGTAAAGTTTAAAGGTTATTTTTCGCTGTACTAAAATAACTGTTTTAATCCTTTAAAATGTATACATAAACTCATCAATTATAACTTTTATTACATTAAAATAACTTCTTCAGTTATAATGAATAAAAATAAACTTAACTTAAAATTTTTTCCTCTTTTGAATCCGGAAAATACCAATAATTTTTCATGTCAGTGAAAAATAGTATTTCAGATGCCATGCCATGGGTGTATTTCCTATTTCACTTTATAGCAGTGATTTTCAACCTTTTTCATCTCATAGCACAGATAATTACTAAAATTTTGCGGCTCATCAAAAAATATATTATAGAATTTTTTGCCAATTTGACAAAAATAGTAGGCGTGATTGTGATTCATTCACCTCGGTGGCTATTGTGTTGGCTGTTGTCGGTTCTTTCATTTGACAATCTAAGGGAAAAGAGGTCAGTGCCCCTGAATCAATAGTCAGGTGTTGCATGTGTTAAAAATTCTTGTGGCACATCCGTTGGAAATCGCTGCCTTATATTTTTGAGCGCTTGGAAATGTTAGCACTTAGCACCAACTTTGTTGACAGCCAGTGCACAGAGATTGCTTGATGTACTCAGCATATACTAGTTGTGTTCAGCACATACCAAAATGACAGAACTGCTTTTCCGCAGGCTTATGGAAATCAAGTCAAAAGCTTTTTTCCCCTCTGGAGATACACTTCACACCTTTGGTGTCACCCCTCTCCTTCCCACAATATTCATCAGGGAGAAGGAACACAGCATAAATGAGGTTACCTTCTCTCTTAGTCTATTCTGGCTATCTTTCTTTTTCTCCTGTAGTCCATGATGAGACACTAATTTCTAAGTTTAAGTTAAGGTGGACGAAGTTATTTAAGGAAGCACATACCACACTGACTGGAATTTTTTTCTTGAAATAACTTCAATGATTCCCATCTGTTGACTTCCAAAATAGTAACAATCTTAATTTCTGAGTATAATCAACATCTCTAAAGATATTTTTCTTATATCTTCCCTCTCTCTCTTTTTCTCTTACCCTTCCCTCCTTTCTTTCCTGCCTTTTTTCTTCCACAAACAGTAACAAATATGAAAAGCATGATTCAATACAGTAAAATATTCTATAATGTACCACAAGGTATCACCCTTGAGTAGCTTTCAAACATGTAAGGAATGTGATGCTTATACATAATAAATAATAAGAGATATTTTTTTACGTAGAACAGTGTTTTCCAAAGTGCAGGTTATGATGCATTTAAAAACTAGTGCATAACCTGTTGCATTTAAAGTCATATCTCCTTCCATCCCCATACACTCAGCTTTGAGTGGTGAGCACACAATGCATTATACGGATGATGTATCATAGAATTATACACTTGAATCCTATATAATTTTATTTCCCAATGTCACCCAATAAATTTAACGAAAAAACAACAAAATCTGCTTAGTGGATTATAGGCAGAGCTTTTGCCAAATGAAAGAGAAAAGAGACAATATTAGAATGATATTACAAATAACTTCATGAAGCTTTTGTTTTGGAGCATGTATGCGTGTGTAAATTTAAGTGAAATATGTGCCATGCAAAACATATTCCTTACTGTGATTCCAGCTAAACATTTGAAAGGTGCTGTACAAAATATTGGGCAAGAGATTATAAGATAAAAGATGACCACCCTGCTGGCATGCGCAAGGAATGTTTCGTTTGAGACTGGACATAGAGCTGGAGTTTTAAGAGTGTTTCCATACAGGAAGAGGAGAGGACATGAGCATAGGTCTGGAGTGGGGAACTGAGAAGTAATTGAGGAGACTTCAAACAGTTCTTTTTGGCTGGATTGCAATATCCTATGAAAGGATAGAGTGGATGTTTGTAAAATTCTGGAAGCCAGATTTTAGAGAATCATGAACATCAAGCCAGGGACTTGGGACATTATCAATAAGTCAGTGGGGAGTTTCGGAAAATGAGCAAACATAAATTGTCCTGTAGAAAACACGACGAGGAAATGGTGTGGCAGAGAATGAGAAGATACCAGTGGAAATGAATATCCCCATTTTTATGTTAGCAATGTCCTCTGCCCTCCTGAAGTCAGCAGGTGAGATCAACGAGTTCCCGCCCATGAAATGACTTGAGACAAATTACAAGGAGGCACATTTCTAACCACTGGTGAGGTAAGATAGAGCTGTACTGTAAGACTTTTCTCCCTCAGCATCCTTCCACACATTTGGCCACTGATTTCCTTGAGTAACCCTTACTCCATTAATACTCATAATTAACATCTCTATTTATTAGTTCTTCAGATTGTTCAACAGAGAGTATGTCCTCTTTTGGCAAGGACTGACAAATCCTAAAAGTATTGAGTGAACCAGGTGAGCTGGGTTCAATGTGAGCTCTTTCTGCAGATTATCTCATTTAATCCTAACAAAGGCAGTGCAGTGCTCATACCGTTATGAGCATCGTTTTACAGATTAGGGCCCTGAAGCTCAAAGAGGCTAAGCAGCTTGCCCACATTACACAGGGGGAAGTAGTACAGTGGAAATGTAATTCAGACAGCCTGGCCTTCAGAGAAGACACCATTCACCACCACACGTCTTGCTGTGGGAAGGTGGCTCTCTGCAAAGCCACATACCCCAACTCCACCTGCTCTTTGCCTTTGTAAGGTGTGATAGTAAAAGGGAGGAAATGACTAGACAGTGTTTTGCCTTTATGTATCTAGAATGAGAAAACAGATAAAATAATTCACCATTTTTTTCCTTAAAAATAACAAACATTCATTCTTTCATATACACATACATACACACACATATTAGACTTATTGCTTTAAAACAAATTTCTAATTCTCTAAAACTACATTTGAAAAATAAAAAATAGAGATGAACTCAGTTTAAAAATCAGAAAATAGAAACTTTTTCTTATTGTATAGTGGGTAAGAATTATTCCCACTAACTACTACTGTTGAAGGTTTTATTGGCCATGATGCAAGGAGCAGTTATACTTGTACTGTATTTATTGTCTAAAATTTATTCTAGGCTTGATTTGATGTCATCAGAAACTATTTAAGAAAATGGTTTATTCTGAAGTATTTTCTCTTCATAGGACATGGTGAAGTAGCATGTTCCCTCTCCTTAGCTCCAAGGCGATTAAAGATAAATTTAACAAGATCTGTGCTTTGCTTATGCCAATGACTTTGCTTGTGCCAAGTCAGATAGTGTTGCTCCTAGGAAGTTGTAAGAGAAACAGATGGCATTTGTCCTGATTCCATCCTATGGCCATACACCCAGACTGAGAGAGCACAGGGACACCATGATACTAGTTTCCTGTGCTATGAAAGGACAAAGTATTGTTGGGATTTTAATCAAATAATTACTTTAATTGTAGAAATTATATGAAAGATTTATGCTAAAAATCTATTTCTATAGATCCTAAATAGTCTTTCATTCTCTGAAGTTCAAGGTAGAGAATTCCCGAGTGTTCATATATAACACCATATGGCAGTGATGGCGAACCTATGACACGCGTGTCAGAGGTGACACGTGAACTCATTTTTTTGGTTGATTTTTCTTTGTTAAATGGCATTTAAATATATAAAATAAATATCAAAAATATAAATCTTTGTTTTACTATGGTTGCAAACATCAAAAAATTTCTATATGTGACATGGCACCAGAGTTAAGTTAGGGTTTTTCAAAATGCTGACACACCGAGCTCACAAGGTTCGCCATCACTGCCATATGGGATCTTTCTTGTGAACTTGCATTCTTGTCTTTGAGAATTCAGCTTACAGCTGGAAACCAAGTATCATATTTTCAAATGACCAAGTCATCTACCCTAATCTTTCTAGGTAACTCAAAAATAGTCTCTAAATGTTAGAATTTCATTTATCCTCATAATAAGCAGCTATTGCTCCAGTTATCTGTTCTCTTAC